GCTTGAAGGACCTGTTCAGGTTTGGTAAGTCAAGCTTGTCTTTGACAAGTTTGGATGAGGATATGTGCATAGGGGCACCAGGAACAGGGGGACAGCAGCTAGGCCAGTTGGATAAAGCCAGATCATAGACTTTTAATGCCAAAGAGGTTGGTTGTGATCTTGTGGACAGTGAAGGTTAGTGTAGGCTTAGACACTTGTCTTGTGCTTATATAAAGTTGGCAAGGTCAGGCCTGGGCTTTGGGTCTGTTTCTGAGGAAGGAGGGAGGGAGACCAGGGGTCTGATAGTCTGTTGTTCTCCCCTATATTGCAAGCTCCAGGAGTACAAGGATTTTGGTTGTTTTCATCTAGCTATTTCTAGCACCTAAAACTATGCCTAGTACTTAGAAAGCAGACGAGTAATTGTGTTTGGAATGTGAAGTGTATCCTAGGGCAGCCTAAATGTAACCAAGACCCAGGATTAACTAATCTCACCTGGCTGTCTTAGAGCCCCTGATCTGACCAGTGGGGTCAGCTTAAGAGTGTGGTTCACCAAGAAGCAGAGAAGAAGGTGCCCTGTGGTAGGAAGGGAGGAATGGGTGGTAACTCTGTGGCTGACTGATCCCCACTTCTGAGCCACATTATTTTCTCTTTCTTCCTGGGAATCCTAGAACTGCCTGATAAAGAGGGATGAGAATGGTTACTCTGCAGTGGTAGCTGACTTTGGCCTGGCTGAGAAGATCCCCGATGTCAGGTGTGTAGCCCTACTGGATGCTGGGGTTCAAGGGACATGGGGCTGAAGCTAAGGGAAAAGTCTAGCCTCTTCCCCAGAGGCCAGGACTTGGTCACAGCTCAACTTCAGCTCCCTAAATTTGGTTAGTCCTTGCCTATACCCATCCTTGGGGTGGAGGAATGGTCAAAAGATTCCATTGCACCAGCCAATGGCAAGCTCATTTTCTGTATAATCTCACCCCACAGCATGGGGAGTGAGAAGTTGGCCGTGGTGGGTTCCCCATTCTGGATGGCACCTGAGGTTCTCCGAGATGAGCCCTATAACGAAAAGGTAAGTTTTGAGGATCTCAAGGCCTGATTCTCCTTTTTTTTTTTTCTTTTTTTTGAGATGGTCTCACTCTGTTGCCCAGGCTGGAATGTAGTGGCACAATCTCAGCTCACTGCCTCCCGGGTTCAAGCTATTCTCCTGCCTCAGCTTCCCAAGTAGCTAGAATTACAGGCATGCGCCATCATGCCCTGCTAATTTTTTTTTATTTTTAGTAAAGACAGGGTTTCACCATGTTGGCCAGGCTGGTCTCAAACTCCTGACCTCAAGGGATCTGCCCGCCTCAGCTTCCTGAAGTGCTGGGATTACAGGCATGAGCCACCGCGCTCAGCCCTGATTCTCCTTAGAATCTACTCTTAGCAGAGTGTCCAAGATGTTCCTACTAAGAACAGGTAGATGTTCCTACAAGGTACCAGGGGTGGTACCTGGCAGCTGCCCAGTGACTGACTTGGATGAAATATGGGCAATATTAACCCAAGCCTGGGTTGTTAGATGGGGGGGGTGGGGCGAGGCAGGGGCAAGGGCAGATACCCTACCCCTCAACCCATTAAGAGGGAAACCAAAGTCTGACTACCCACCAGGCAGATGTGTTCTCTTATGGTATCATCCTTTGCGAGATCATCGCCCGCATCCAGGCCGATCCAGACTATCTTCCCCGCACAGAGGTGAGCTGCAACCATGGGGATCATTGCCACTGATGGGGCTAGTTTGAAGCAATGAGACTGTTCTGTTCCTGGGGTGGACTTGCTGGAACTGTCTGTGGCTGGTTGTCAGGGGCAGCTCCCAACCTCTTCTACTGAGTAGACTAGGATGGGTCGGGGGATTAATGAACTGTCTACCTAGGCTTTCCATACCCATCCACAGAATTTCGGGCTGGACTACGATGCCTTCCAGCACATGGTGGGAGACTGTCCTCCAGACTTTCTGCAGCTTACCTTCAACTGCTGTAATGTGAGTGTCTTTCTCCCTCTGCCTTTCATCAGGGGCTGGCTGAACCCTTTTCATCTGGTTAGGACTGTACAGAGATGCTGCTAATTAGCCTCATGAGGGACCTCATTTTCTTTTTTTCTTGATACGGAGTTTCGCTCTTGTTGCCCAGACTGGAGTGCAATGGTGTGATCTCAGCTCATCGCAACCACCACCTCCCAGGTTCAAGCAATTCTCCTGCCTCTGCCTCAGCCTCCCGAGTAGCTGGCATGCACCACCACACCCGGCTAATTTTGTATTTTTAGTAGAGACGGGGTTTCTTCATGTTGAGGCTGGTCTCGAACTCCTGACCTCAGGTGATCCACCCGCCTCGGCCTCCCAAAGTGCTGGGATTACAGGAGTGAGCCACCACGCCTGGCCAAGGGACCTCATTTTCACGTAGTGACAGCAACCACACCTCCTTCTCCTCCCTCTGGCTCTTAGCTAACCTATTCGGAGCCCTGGACCAAGGAAAGAAAAAAATTGCTTTGTATTATCTGGTCCTCAGCCTATAGGATAGACCCATCACTCCTTGCCTTGGGTGTTGATGGAACTCTGGTCCAGTTTTATTGTTGGACTGTGGATCCAACTGGTCCTGAGGCATATGAGAAAGGCTCTTCTTGGCCTTCATATATATAGCTCTGGGGCTAGACCTTACCTGTTAGGATCAAGGGGTAGGTGGGCTTTGTTCAGATACCTCCCAGAAACACATTAGGAGCAGAACTCAAGAACAGAATAAACTAATATGAGCATACTTTTGGAAGGTTCTGTGACAAGGTGATAAGACAAACACTAAGACAGGGAGGGAAGTAGATGATAGTGTTTTCCCTGACCTGAACTGTATCTTCATTGTCTGGGGTCTTGAGAAAAGGTCTCTTAGCTGCACATCTGAATCTTCAAAGATGCCAGAAATAGACTCAAATGCCATCTTTGGGGTGGGAGATGGAGGGCAGGGCTCATGGCTGTTGTGTATACCTACAGATGGACCCCAAACTGCGCCCATCTTTTGTGGAGATTGGGAAGACCCTGCAGGAAATTCTGAGCCGCCTACAGGAAGAAGAGCAGGAGAGGGATAGGAAGCTGCAGCCCACAGCCAAGGGTAAGAGATTAGACCAGGGAGCCAAACCTAACCCTAAGGGAGGAAATTTGGATGTGGGGCCTTCTCCTCTTAGGATTGTGATTGCCAGGATCCCAGGTCCAGAAATAAAGGGGAGGGGAAGGAGATAACACAGAAAGTACTGGGCTCTTTAAGAGCTGTGGCTTAGCATACTGCTTCCCATCTCCGAGTCTGTTTCTTCATTGGTGAAACGGGGCTGTGGTATCAACTTTGCTTTCATGAGTGAAAACATTCTGTGGTAAAATGCTGCTTCTATTTGTTATGACTAGTGAGAGTAACCCAGACTTAATTATTCTTCAGGACTCTTGGAGAAAGCACCTGGGGTGAAGCGACTAAGCTCACTGGATGACAAGATCCCCCACAAGTCACCATGCCCAAGACGTACCATCTGGCTGTCTCGAAGCCAGTCAGACATCTTTTCCCGTAAGCCTTCACGTACAGTGAGCGTCTTGGACCCATACTACCAGCCACGAGATGGTGCTGCCCGCACCCCCAAAGTCAACCCTTTTAGTGCTCGCCAGGACCTCAAGGGGGGCAAGATCAAGTTTTTTGACCTGCCCAGCAAGTCTGTCATCTCTCTGGTATTTGACCTGGATGCACCAGGGCCTGGAACTATGCCCCTGGCTGACTGGCAGGAGCCCCTGGCCCCACCTATTCGCCGGTGGCGTTCCTTGCCTGGTTCGCCTGAGTTCTTACATCAGGAGGCTTGTCCATTTGTGGGCCGGGAAGAATCGCTATCTGATGGGCCCCCACCACGCCTAAGTAGTCTCAAGTACAGAGTTAAAGAGATCCCACCATTCCGGGCATCTGCCCTACCAGCTGCTCAAGCCCATGAGGCTATGGACTGCTCCAGTCTCCAGGAAGAAAACGGTTTTGGGTCCAGGCCCCAGGGGACCAGTCCATGCCCTGTGGGTGCTTCTGAGGAGATGGAGGTAGAAGAAAGGCCAGCAGGCTCAAGTCCAGTCACCTTTTCCACCTCAGGCATAGGCCTGCAAACCCAGGGAAAGCAGGATGGGTGAGGGGGGTTAGTCCCTGCCTCACCTTGGGGATGGACCTTCAGCTGAAACCATATGGCCCCCTAGGTGCACAGCCTTGATTCTTCCCTGGAGCCTACAGAGTAGGCAGGCTAGGCCAACCCAGGCTCAACTTCTGGGCTCCTGGTGCCCATTGGCTGTGTATGATAGGGGAGGCAGGAGTGAGAGGCCTTCCTAGTTAGGGCCAACAGCTGATACCAAGCCTTTGAAATCCGGCAAAGAGGTCTGCCTCCCACTGGACCCCCTCCAGTGCACTTCCCCAGACAGGACCAGAGGATGTCTAGTTCTAGGCTGAGCTGGCAGGCAGCTATTACCCCAGTTCTTTCCCCACCCCAGGTCTGTCTCTTGCCCTTTCTTGGGGCATGTAAGCTACTGAGTGGAACATGGAGCTAAGAGGGCATAACGGGCATGGCTGTTTCCCAGACCTGAAGATTGGGGTGCTTCTTGCCAGTATTCTAAGACACTTGAGTAATTGCTGTTTGCACTTACTGCATGGTCAGACCACGTCACTACGTTTCTATGCAAGGGGAGAGCAAGGCAGTGTTGTGGTCATGGCTCTTAGCTAACCTATTCAAAGACCTTTTTCCCGTTGATTAATCTATTTTCATATTTATAAAGGAGTCTTAATGTTCTGCCCCATAAGACTTTCAACCTTGTGGTTGGGAGTGGGGCTGGTTTTGTAGGCCCTAGGGCCTGCTTCTATGTATTTGTCAACATGTGATACATTCAGTTGATTAAATGGTTTATACATGGACTGATTTTCTTCCCTTCCTGCCATGGCTGGAACTTTGGGAACAGTCTGTCCTTACAGAGCTGCAATAAGAAATAACCAAAGATGAAGCTGGTCAAATATTTTCATAACTTGCTTCTGTTGATTTTTTTTGTAAAACTTTCCCAAGACATTTTCAGACTTAAAAATAAAGTCGGTGTTACAGGTGCTGGTCAGCCTTCTTACTTGTACCTCAGACACTGAGATAAAGGAGGAGGTCCAGGGCAATGCAGTGATATGTCTGTCAGGACACTCCCCCTCCCCTAAACTCAGTAGTAGTTGAGTATGACATTTACAGGCTAGAAAGACCCAAAATACCTCTGTTCCACCTGAGTGCTAGGTGGAAGTTGCATCAGCTGCTGCCCCAAGCGAGCTTCATCTTCTGATTGTGGGCTTTGGAGGAACGGGAGAACTGGCTCTTGGCCACTGTGAGGGGTACAGCTTTGCCACTCAAATATACCTTATTGTGGCATTCAGGGAGCCAGGGTCCAGAGCTGCTGGGCTGGGGTCCCTGGCTTACTTCCACATAGGCCATCACATAACCTGTCATAAAGGCATCAAAACCAGCCCGGTGCAATCCATCCCCAGGTACTGGGTTAGAACTGGCTTGGCTCCCTGGCACTTCTGAGGTAGCTGTATCAGCTATTTCAGGCCTTGCTGCCGTAACCCCCATCTCTAAGTCATTTTTGTTGCCTTGGTTGGAGTGAGGCAGATTTCTAGTTTCATTCTCAGCCACCTCCTTGGTTTCTTCAGCCTTGAGGCTATCCCCACAGACCTGCTTCTTGGGAGGACCATCCTTAGCTTCCCCAGAGGTCTGTGTCCCCGGTAGGTTCAACAAAGCCCTCTTCCGTTTTTCCCTACGTCGTCGCCGTCGCCGCTTGTCCTCTGCTGCAGCCTCATCAGTGTCAATGATAAGGTCAATATCGTGGGACTGAGAACACTGTGGTCCCAAGGGGCACCAGCCATAAGCCTAGGGGTGGGAAAGAGGCTTAGAAAGAGGCTCCAGGCATCAGAACCTCCCCTCCCAAGAAATAGGTGGGTGCTCTCACCGAGAAGTTGTCACAGATGCTGGTGGGATGAGGACGGTGGGTTGCTGGGGGCAGGCAGCAACGGTAATCAATATGGTCCCTCATGCTGGAAGGATAGTTGCAGAACTCCAGGGTAAGGTGTGGGCTGCCAGCTGCCCGCTGCTTCCCATTTTCCCGTTCACTGCAACAGCGCAAGAGGGTAATGGTCCACTAGCATATAAGCTCCATAAGAGCAGGGTTTTTTGGTCTGTTTTGTTCACTGCTGAATCCTCAGCACCTAAAACACTGTCTGGGCACATGGTAGGAGCTCAATAAATATCTTAAGTGAATGAAATAAACTCATTATCAGGCCCCACCCCTTTCCCTCAACCATTTCCTCACCATTTCCGGAAGGCATATTCTAAGTAGGAGGCCACGAAGCGGGCATGAAATTCAGCAGCATATTTGGTGTCATAAATGCCTGCTGGGAACATCTCACACAGGTCAGCAGTGAAGGTTCCCAGACTCTCAGGGAGATGTGCGTAGAAGTTCTGGTATAGGAACACCAAGTCTATAAGGCCATTGTGTAGCACCAGGGGCCGGCGGGCTCGGATTAGCTCCAGGAATAGGGTCCGTACTGACTGGCTCTGGCTCTCATCACCCTAGGTGAAAGTAAAGGGGTCAATGAGGAGGACAGAGTCCCCCAGGGAGCCTCTTCTACTGGGCACTTATCCCAGGCTTGCCCACTTGGAACGCGCTCTCTCTCTCTACCCAATGCTACCTACCCTCCTAGCAGTCTTGTTTCCCAAGCCCTGTCACTAGTGATTCCCCATACTCCCTAAGAAGCAGGTTCTCCCCAGGCATCCAACCTAGGGTAGGAAGAAATAAAGTCACAGAAGGGCAGACTCAAGGCTAGGGAGTCTGGAGGCCTACCTTGTCATTGCCTTTATGGTAGGGGATGCCTTGGGCATACTGCTGGTTGAAGTTGAAGCCATGCTGTATCAGGAACTGCACAGACTTTGGTTCTATGACATACTCCTCCATGCACAGCAGAGTGAGATTGAACACCTGAGCCAGATAGGAATGTTCACCCTGGGAGAAAGAGAAAGTCTGCTATATCAAGATTTGGGAGAGCCAAGTTAGGAGGATGTAAAAGCTTAAGAATGATACAATGGACTCGGCGGGGAAAGGGTGGAGGCAGTTGAGGGATAAAAGACTACACATTGGGCACAGTGTGCACTGTTTGGGTGATGGGTGCACCAAAATCCCAGAAATCACCACTAAAGAACTTATTCATTTAACCAAACACCACCTGTTCCCCATAAACCTATTGGGAAAAAAAAAAAAATCTATCAAGTTAGAAAAAAAAAAACAGATTTGGGAGAAAAAAGCTTCATATCTGATGTTCCCCAGAATCTCTCTACCCTCCTCCCCACAGCCAGACCTAGGATTGGGGTGAGATCAGCTCATACCTTGTCTGGCTGTCGCTTGAAGCAGGCGAGGCCCAGGGAGAGGATAGAACGGGTCCTGGCAGCATGACACACAGCCTTGTAACGTTCCTCGATGCACCTTGGGGTTGGGTTTGGGGGTTGCTGTGGCTGGGAGTTAGCCTTATGAAGGACCCAAACCACCCAGGTCTGTGACCGCCCCCCTCCACAGTTGAGGGCTGGCACTAAAGAGAACAGGGCTTATACTTACTGGTTCAGCAAACTCTTCCTGTCCCCAAGCCCACTCAGCTCCTGTGGGGAGGTAAAGGGAGGGTTGACAGGCCTCTAGCACCAGCCCCTTCACAACCACCTGCCCTCTTTGTTTTCCAACTCTCACCGTGTCCACAGCCACGAAATTAGCTGTCTTTATGGCTAGCAGGAGGGATGGCCACATCTCTTTGAAGTTGTTGCTTTGCACATCCACTACGGGAACCCGGACTACTAGCTCCTCCCCAGATGTTGTGCTTTTGCTGACACCACCTGGGGGTTAAGAGGGTGATGGATGTTCATGCTTAAGGAAAGAGCCCAGGGGAACAGTCAGCAAGCTAGGCCACGGTGATGGTGGTGAGGGGGGTAGTTTCCATTGGCAGCTTTTCCCACAAGCCTTTGTATCCCACGTGTTCTACACACAGGCCTTGGAGTGGAGAGTGCCCTGAATTTGGGGAGGAAGCCTGGGTCTTCCCGTGGCTTGTATGAGTCTGGGTAAATTACTTCCCACCTCGCTGTCACAATATATAGAGGAGAAAGTTGGATTAGATGACCTTTGAGATTCTTTTTTCCCGTGTCCTGAAGGAAACATTTTGCAGGGCTTGAGGATCTCAGCTCCCTTAATATCCCACAGGATCCACACTACTGTTCTCATGGTGCCCCAGCGCCATAAGCAACAGTTCCCAGTAAGTCCCAGAGCCTGATAGTGCCCCACACCAGAGCTGCCAATACGTCCTACCTTCCTTTGGACCACAATGCTCAATCCACCCCACTGAACTGAATCACAACTATTATTAGTAACCGTTATGAGCTCCAGACTACATCTCCCGCCATGCCTCCATCAGCCCCATGCTCCCAATGCTCCAGGCTTTCGCAGCCCGAGCCGCGGTGTACAATGGGACTTGTAGTCTCCTCGTGGCTAGTTCAGGCGGAAGGAGCAGTTCTCTGAAGCTTGAAGAGTCTCTAGAACTATGAGCCCGAGGCCTTGCCCTCTCCCAGAGCGCAGAGGCTTTGAAGGCTACCCCTGGGAAGCCGCTCACCGTCGGAAGCTGCGGGAGCTGAAGCTGCGCCATCGTCACTGTAGGCGGCCATGACACCGCTCGTCTCCCGCCTGAGTCGTCTGTGGGTAAGCTGGACTTGCGCTCCGTCTCCTGGAGCGGTTCAGGCAGTCGGGGATGGCGCGGGGTCAGGCCGTCGGGTCGCCGAAGGGTCGGACTTCCGTTCAGACCTCCCGGGTCCGGCGCGGGGAAGGCAGCGCGGCGCGCGCTAATTGCCTATTGGCCGGTGCTGCCGCCTCGCCGCCGGGATGGGCCCGAGCCACGCCCCCTGAAGTGCGCCGGAAAGCTGGGCGGGCTAGAGCGCGCTGGAGGTAAATTTTCTTTCCCGCACTCGCTGCGGGAACGCGGGGGTTGGGTGTACTGCTCTCTTCATCAGCGTGGGCCGGGGGTGGGGGGATGACTGGGTTTGGGCTTTCCAGAGAAGGTGACGCTGCCTGAGCTGAGCTTAAAGCACGCCCAGGAGTTAGGCTAGGAGAGGGTCGTGTGGGGGAAAGAAGGGTGTTCTGGGCATCGGTAAATTCCCAGAGAGGATGGGGAGCGCAGTGCTCTCCAGAAAGTGAAAGAGGCGGGGAGTAAGCCGTCGGAGGAGGCTGAGGAGGGTGTAGGGCGACCGACTGGTAGGGAAGCTTTTGAAATAATCCAATCAAGTGATAATGTGAACTTGAATTAAGGCTGGCGAGGAAGGGATAAATTGACAAGCAGCTAGGCCGTATAGTCGACCTAGAGGGTGATTGAGCTTGAAAGAGATTTCTAGGCCGGGCGCAGTGGCTCACACCTGTAATCTTAGCACTGTGGGAGGCCGAGGCGGGCGAATTACCTGAGGTCAGTTCAAGACCAGCCTGGCCAACATAGTGAAACTCCATCTCTACTAAAAGTACAAACAAAATTAACTGGGTATGGTGCGGGCGCCTGTAATCCCACTAAGGAGGCTGAGGCAGGAGAGTCTCTTGAACCTGGGAGGCGGAGATTGCGGTGAGCCGAGATCGCGCCATTTTGCACTCTAGCCTGGGCAACAAGAGCGAAACTCCGTTTCAAAAAAAAAAAAGAGGTTCCTATTGGAGACTAGTACCTCCCTAAACACTCCGATTCCCATCCACCTGTGCCTTCCAATGCTCCTTTGTTACTCTTTGTTTATAGTTCATCTTCAGCTTCTCTCAGCTCAGCCCATTTCATCATTATTCAGAACTGCTTGGGCCTGGAGCAGAGGCTTATGCTTGTAATCACTTTAGGAGGCTGAGGTGGGAGGATCACTTGACCCCAGGAGTTCAAGACCAGCCTGGGCAACATAGTGAAACCTTGCCTCTACAAAAAAATATTAAAAATTAGTTGGGCATGGTGGTGCGCACCTGTAGTCCCAAGCTACCTGGGAGGCTGAGGCGAGAGGATGGCTTGAGCCCAGGAAATCGAGGCTGCAGTGAGTCATGATCTCCCCATTGCATTCCAGCCTGGGTGGCAGAGCAGCAGAGTGAGGGACACACTGTCTATAAAAAAAACAACAAAATAAAACTGTTTGAATTTCTCCTATCCTAAAAAAGGGAAACTCTTTTGACTATCCCCCATCCCATTAATTCATTTAACAAGCATTTATTGTGTACAGTTTACCTGGCACTGACTTTGGACACACACCAGTCAACAGAAGAAAATCAGTCCTCGCACTCAAGTCGTTTTTTTACAGTCAAATTCAGGAAGTACACACTGATGGAAAGAATCAAAGTCATGTGAAATTACTTTGGGGTAAGAGCTACAAGGCAGAAATACATGATAGGATAAGATGAGGGGACCTGATCTGGACATTTCAGTCAAGACTTGAAAAATGATTAGATGTTAGGTAAAGCATAAAAGAGTCCAAACAGGAAATGGATTGTGTGAGGCCCCAAGATGTACAGACACGTTTGAGGTGTTTAAGCAACTAAATTCAATCAACCTTGGCTAGAGCACAGTGAAAGGGGATGAGGCGGATGGTGCCCGGATTATTGGACCCACAAGGCCATAGTAAAAGGACTGCCTTCTATTCTAAGAGCAAGGGTGTGGCAGCCAAATCACTCCAATGGCCTATAAGGGACTTTGTGACCCTCTCCTCCCCACCTCATCTGGTTTACTTCTCTGACCTACCACTCAGCCCCATCTCATTCCATTCTAACCACATTGGCCTGTTTACCACAGACATAGCAGGCACCCTCCTTGGGGCCTTTGCACTCACTTAGAATGCTTTGGGTCTACCTTGACCACAGTCTTTAAAATTGCAACATTAAACCCCACCTTGGCACTCTTTTTTTCCCCCACTTGCTCTAATTTTTGCTTTTTATGCTAATATTTATCACCTAACATGTTATGGAATTTACTTATGTTCATTACTCCTTTTCTGTCCCCATTAGAATATAAGCTCCCTGAGGGCAGGAACTTTTGATGTTTTATTTACTGAAGTATGCCAGGTGCCTAAAACTGCTTGGCATCTATTAGGGGCTCCATAAATATTTGCTCAATCTTTTTTTTTCTTTAAGAGACATGGTCTTGCTGAACCCAGGATGGAGTGCAGTGGCACAATCATAGCTCACTGCAGCCTCGACCTTCTGGGTTCAAGCTGTTCTTCACTTCAGCCTCCAGAGTAGTGGGATTACAGTGTTGAGCCACCACAACCAGCTTGCTCAAGAATTTAATGACCCGTAGTAAAGGCCTAGAGTATTTAAAAAAGAAGGAAAAAGGAAAACAGGAAGGAAGGAAAGAGCAGGGGAGAAAAGAAAGAAAATAAAAGAATATAATGGGGTGCCACACGGTGCCGTAGTTCATGCCTGTAATCCCAGCAGTTTGGGAGGCTGAGGCGGTTTGATTGCTTGAGCTCTGTAGGTTGAGACTAGCCAGGGCAACATGGTGAAACCCTGTCTAACAAAAATACAAAAATTAGGTGAGTGTGGTGGTGGTGTGCGCCTGTGGTCCCAGCTACTTGGAGTTGGGGTTGGGTATTGGGGTGGGAGGATTGCTTGAGCTGAGGAAGCAGAGGTTGCAGTGAGCCACTGCACTCCAGCCTGGGTGACGGAGTGAGACCCTATCCCCCGCCCTCCCCAAAAAAAGAATGAGAAGCCATTGAAGGTTATAAGGAAGGAAGTGACATGATCTGGAAAAGGTTCCTTTGCTCTTTGGAGAATGGATTGTAGAATGAATGTGGAAGTAAGCAGGTTTGGTGAAGGAAGTTTGGCTGTGAAGGGAAGGAGGGTGGAACTTGATTGTGTACGAGTCAAGGAGAAAATCTTTCACTTTGCCCTCTGAAGATCTGCTGAAAAATCAGCTCACAAATAGCAGGTTAACTGGAGAAAAGGCATACAAATTTATTAACATGCACACTGGGAGAACCACAAAGTGATTACCCATCCCCCTACAGAGATCGTAAGTTTATATACCATCTGGCAAAACAGATTATGGGAGGGGTAGAAGAGAAATTCTGTTTTTCTCTTTTTGTAGAGACTTGCTATGTTGCAAGCCTAATCTCGAATTCCTGGGCTCAAGCAATTCTGCCTTGGCCTCCCAAAGTGCTGGGATTACAGGCCTGAGCCAGCATGTCCAACTCTATTTGTTTTTAAATAAACTGAACTTTGGCCAGAAGGAAATTCTGTTGAAGGGCAATAAAGGGTTACTAGGGAGACTGGAATGGGGACAGAGAATGGAATTGTTAATAGTTCTCTTTGGAATTTGAATGATCCTGAGGTACACAACACCTTGTGAAAGGGTTTGTTCAGGTATGGTTACATGTTAGTCTTAGTGAGGGGGGAAGAAAAACACAAGTATTCTTTTTAGTGGGTTTGGACTGTAGGCAGATAAAGAGTTCCAGAGGAACAACTTTGTCCTGGCTTTGGGAGAGTCTGTGGGGTGGAAGGAGCAGAGAGACCTTGAGGCTTCTTGAATTCAGCATGTCAGAGTGCCATATTTTGGGGTATTGGTTTCCTTTTTTTTTTTTTTTTTTTTTGAGACAGAGTCTTGCTCTGTCTCTGTCGCCCAGGCTGTGCAGTGGCATGATCTCAGCTCACTGCAAGCTCTGCCTCCTGCGTTCAAGCGAGCATGTCCAGCTAATTTTTTTGGATTTTTAGTAGAGATGGGGTTTCACCACGTTGGCCAGGCTGGTCTCAAACTCCTGACCTCAAGTGATCTGCCTGCCTTCGCCTGCCTTAGCCTCCCGCAGTGTTGAGATTACAGGTGTGAGCCACTGCGCCCGGCCTGGGGTATTGGTTTCTGAGTTCCAGCAGTTAGATGGGATTGGAGGAGCAGGACCCTGAAGAGGAGGAGGGTAGGACAGTGCAAATGGAAGTAGATTTGAAGTTTTTTTTTTTTTTTTCTGAAGGAGGAGGCAAGCTCTTTTGATGAAAATGAGGTGGTAAAGTCAAAGTTTTTGGGGGAGAGTTTGATACAGAAGCTTAGCAGGGACTGTATTTTATCACAGTGTAAGAATGCTGGTTGTGGATTTGAAAGAACAAGTTGCTTAATCTCCGTAAACTTCAATTTCCTTATAAGTAAGATGGAGGTGATACTAGTACATACCTCATGGAGTCACCAGGAGATTGAGAGATCCGGTAAAGCTCTCCATGGGGTCTGACATAGAGTCGGCACTTACAAAGTATCAGCTAATTTTAGCTGTTAGAGAAAAGGCAGCCATTATAACAGTCCGGGAGCAGTGAAAATCAACCAGGCACATTTTCTCATTGTTGATGGTCAGCCACCTATGGTTTACTAGATCAGGAAAAGATTAGGAATAAAAATAGCTAATCTCTTATTCTCCCACTGATTTGCCATCTGTTCTCAGACAGATCTTTTGTCCCTCTGATCCCTGGTTTCTTCCTGGATAAAATGAAGGTTTTGGACTAGGTCACTACTAAAGGCTGTTTCAGTGTAACCATGCTACATCTCTAAGAGGCAGAGAAACCTCCTACCCCCATTTTCCCAGACATACCTAAACAACCCCTAAACACCTAAACACACAATCACAGTAAGCATCAGGGATACACAAATGCTCCCAAACAGGAGGTTTTGGTCCTTGACCCATCCCAGCCCTGGCCTCTGTTTTTGCATGTCTCCAGGGCTATAACGCTGGCCCCCTTGAGGCCACTTGCTCAGCTATACTAGTTGTATCTCAGTGCTGCAGCCAGCCAAGAGTCAACTCATGAGCATCTTGAGAGTGCTTAAGAAAAGCTGGACCCTATGTGAATGGTGGATCAGACGGAGATGGCTATCACCCTTGGAAGGCCTCAAGATTCTGCCTCATTGTGACTGCTTTGGCTGGGTCTTTTTGTTTCAGGCCATCATGAGGAAGCCACGAGCAGCCGTGGGAAGGGGTCACAGGAGGCAGGCAGCCAGCCAGGAAGGGAGGCAGAAGCATGCTAAGAGCAACAGTCAGGCCAAGCCTTCTGCCTGTGATGGTAAGGAACTTGGTTGTGGCCCAAGGCTCACTGGCCATGAAAGGGGGCAGATTCAGTCTGGGAAGGGATTGTGATAAGTATCAAGACATTAAGAGACTTACCAAGGGCCAGATACCATGGCTCACACCTGTAATCCCAGCCCTTTGGGAGGCCGAGACGGGTGGATCCCTTGAGCCCAGGAGTTTGAGACCAGCCTGGGTAACATGGCGAAACCCCCTCACTATGCTCGCATGGTGGTGAGCGTCTGTAGTCCCAGCTACTCGGGAGGCTGAGGAGGGAGGATCGCTTGAACCTGCAAGGCAGAGGTTGCACTGAGTCGAGATAGTGCCACTGCACTTCAGCCTGGGCAACAGAGCCAGACTCTGTCTCAAAAAAAAAAAAAAAGAGACTCACTAAGGGTGTA